GGTCCCATTATCTACCAGTTTAACTAGGATAAACACAGACCTGCTAATACCCTAATTATTAAGCAAAGTAAAAATCTTAAAATATTTCAAGTTTGTTTTCAGGTTTACTGCACTTGCATTATTTAGTTTTAGTATTATTAAAATGGCGTTGCAACGCTGACATTTTTAAGATTAGCACACAATTCAGAATTACTGTAGTACTATATTACAACACTACCTCAGTAAACACTGTGTCAGATGTTCTCTTCGTACCATTGCTCAGGATAGTTAAGCCAAGTTTGGAAGTTATCCTTACTTGCTGTATGTCCACTGAAGCATAGATACTTAGTAACCTGAAAGGAGGTTTTGAACAGGTGGCAGTTACATGGTAATGTTTTGTATTGTGCCCAAGTAAACATCTGCTATTCATTAAACCTCCAAGCAGAAGAGTATTGGAAGGCAGGATTTAACCCAGTTACATTTGATTTTCTAAATTGAAGCAACAAGAAATAGTATCAAAGAGATTATTAAACCAAAGTGTAGCAGTGGAAGTCTGTCTCTCTCAGTATTGTCTATTGCATTACAAAACAGTTTAAAGGAGATCTGGCGGAATATGAGCTCATATTCATGGTTTGTGTTGATACAGTTTTCTTTGAAAAGTCTGTAGTTTGTGTTAAAGGATGGTGTTTTGCACTGATTGTCAGGGCTCTTAAAATGATTACTTTTTTTGTTTGGAACCCTGAAGCTGTTTTTGAATTCATAGCAGAACTTTGCTAATGGAAAATGATTGGAGCTGACATAAAATTAATATATTACAGTGCCTTGAAAAAGTGTTCAGCCCCCAACACATTTTTCACATTTTGGTGCTGCAGATTCTGAATTTGAAATAAATTAAAATAGGATTTTTTGGCACAGATCCACAAAGTATTGAGTACCATGTCAAAACAAAATAAATGTTCCAAAAGCTTTCTACAATTTACAAAAATAAAAAACAAATGATTAAATTTAAAAAGTATTCATACCCCTTGTAAATGCAAGCTCAAATTTGCACAGGAGCAATACATTACCTCATAAGGTTCACAATACTGCTTTCTCTGTGAGGTGCTTCAGCATGGTAGAGACCTTCCAAAAAAATGACTCAAAATGAAGATGAAAGAACATTCCAAACAAGTCGGCAATATGATTATAGAGAGGCACAAATCTGGAGAAGGGTACAAGACCACTGCCAACGTATTGACAATCCCTCGGTCTATCATAAAGAAGTTGAGAAATTATGAAACTGCAGCCACACTGCCAAGATCAGGCCACCCTACTACATTTAGTTGCCAGTAAAGAAGTGAACTTATTAGAGAAGCAATTGCGAGGCCAACTGTAACATCGTATGGGCTACGGAAGTTGTGATGCAAGATGATGTGCATGGGTCAACAATCTCCAAGGCATTCCACATAAGGGCCTTTATGCAAGGGTTGCAAGCCCATAGCTTGAGCAATTTTGCCAGAAGGAATTTGCTAATATTGCTTTGTTTCAGCCTGCAAAGTTAATACATATCCAAAAAGACTGCTTGCTGTAATGCCTGCCAGGGGTAATTGGCCAAAATAATTATGGCAACTAAATATATGATGATAGTTTTTTTTACTATTATCTTTCTTTTTTGGGGGGGACTCTGTGAAGATGCATGAGGGACTCACGAATAATTCCCATTCTAAACAAATGAAATTCCCAGTTGTGAGATTGAGTGTGAAAAGGGGGGATGGGACTGAATACTTTTTTTTTCAAGGCACTGTACAGAATGTCTGTTTATATTTACAGAAGAGATCCAAACCTAGTCCATTTTACCATGGTTAAACTTATAGTGCATGTTACATTATACTGTGCAAGTTACAATGACCACCTCTAGGAATAAATGTCAATATAATGTTTTTTTGTGTTCTCGTGGACCTAAATTTAAAAAAGATATTGCAAAAATAACTAGGGTACTGTTAAATGTATTTATTGTTTGTAAACTTATTAAAACTAAATTGTTTAGTCTATTATCGTTTCACCATACACACAAAATGTATTTTAGAGGCATATGTTTTTCTTTGGAAATGAGCTGTAGTTACCTGAACAGTAAACAGAATTGAGAAATGTACAAAAAGAGACCATTAGAACTATTAACTGTGTCTCCGTTTGTAACCCACATTCTGGCTACTAACAGCCACCATTACACTTAAAGGTAAGCTACTTCACATCACACCTCTGATAAACAGTGTTGTCATTATGAAATTGTATGCTTTGTTCAATATCTTTACCTGCACAAAATGTATTAGCAGTTCAATACTTGGCTCTCAGTATTACCATATTTTCATCTCAGACAAGGGTAATAAATAACCTACAGCACAGAAGAATATTAACAATTTGTCTCTGCCATGCAATCCATTGTATTTGATCACCTGTGAATTTTTATTTTTAGTCTTGACTCTGAACTTCTGTGTTCTCCAAAGAAGCAAAGGCAATCAAAGGGAATGACCAGAGCAGTTTTATGTCTGTGTTGATGAGTGCTGACCTTTAGATGCCAATACTACCTTCTATTTTCAGCACTTATGTTGTGCTCATTCCAGTGACCATTCTAGGTGAAACAAATTAAACTGAATTTGAGTCCTTTTTGCTCCACATGGCATTAAGCTCTCCAAAATACTCCTCCATCTAGTTATACAATGTAATCTGACCATACGTACTGACAAAAGTGAGATTTGTGAAAAACCTGTACTACATACATGAAACATTTTTTTTTTATGTGATGTACACTGATGTCTTGCTCTCTAAAAAAAAAAACTTCACAGGTTTTATTTTCCACATGAATTCTCTAATGATCAAAAGTTATTGCTTTTACCCTGGACTTGTTTTAATAAAACTACAATAGCTTTTGTTTTAAATAAGATGAATAAGAGTTTATATTACATAAGAGTAAAAAGGTGGCATTTATAGGACTTTATTAAAGGAATGGGGTTGTTCTCATTGTTGTGTTAATATTGAAATATCCTAAAATATCCTAATGCTTTCTGGTTTGTTTACTGTGTGGTGTAGTGTTAACAGTATAGTTTATATTTACTAGAAGACACTTTGTATACATAATTGTAGAGTGAAATGTTTCTAGCTTGTCATGCTTATTCTTCCTTTGTTATATGACGTGACTATTACCGTTACTGCTGTTGTGGAGCTACTGTGAGCTTTTTCAGTATCGATTAACATAGTTCTATTTTTCCATAAAGATCTTCCTAATCATAATATCTCATTTCTTCCAGGTCTCAGAAGACAGCATTCTGTTGGCTACACCCAAAATGCTGTTGCCATCATCTAGCCAAGTGCCAGTAGGAACTCCCTTATCTGTGCATCACCAAATTCAGCTCTTACAGCAACAGCTGCAGCAACAGCAGCAGCAAACTCAAGTAGCTGTTGCACAGGTAAGAAAATAAAGCCAGTTTCATCTTATTTCATGGAAATAATCTACATCCTTGGTTCTCAAACTGTGGTATGTGGAACACCCCCAGGTGGTACGCCAGATGACCCTGGAAATTTGTTGTGTGCACTGAAAAATTGGGACAGGTTTTTATATTTTCTATTTTAATAAAATTAGTTGGTGTCAAATATTCAGCTGAATATTGACAGTACTGAATATTTGATAGTACTTCTAGGTTATTTTGAGAAAAATACACTGAGCGTCTCCGTGTTTTGCTCACGTGCTCATGAAATAAAAACTTATTTTAACTGCTGAGATGGATTCCTGACTGTCTTTTAAGGGGAAACATGGAAAAATGCCAGCTTGTGGATTGCTAAAGCAGGTAAGCTCCACACTATTGGTGGAGAACTTTGTTTACCGTTGGCACAAGAGCTGACACGTACTGTACTGTATGATGTGTGGAGAAAAGGCTGCTAAACCGCTTGACCTGCTGCCCCTTTCAAATGACACAGTAGAATTATTGATATGGCAGATAATGTCAAACGTCACATTATCTGACAGAGCACGTCAAGATGAGCTTTTCACTGCAAGTCGACGAGTCTGTAGATGTCGTTGATTTGGCCAGTTTGCTCCTTTACGTTACATATGAGTTTGAGGGCATGTTCCATGAGAACTTCTGTTCTGTAAGCCGCTACCAACAAGAACTATAGGAGAGCACATATTTCAACTTCTGAATTAATTTATCGAAGAGAATGGCATCGACTGGGAAAAAATGCGTCGGAGTTTGTACAGATGGTGCTAGAGTAATGATAAGCTGACACAGTGGTGTAGTTGCACTAATTAGAGAGGTTGCTTCAGATATGAAGTGGACGCACTGCAGCATCCACCGCGAGGCCTTGGCAGTCAAGAAAATGCCTGAGGATTTAAAATCTGTTAGACTCTTCTCTCTAAGTTGTGAATTGTTTCAAGGCTTAACCAGTGAATTCACATCTGCTTTGCTCGACTAAACAGGCTCACCCCTCTCACTGAAGTGGTAAATGCTCAGTGCTATTTTTATTATATGTGTATGTGAGTGTGTGCGCACACATGCTCATGTTGGTCAATTAGATTTTCTGTGGTTCCTAAGAGAAGATGAGTTGTAGGTGGTACTACTTTGGTTCGACTTTGGTTTGATCAGGGGTGGTACTTGGTCCAAAAAGTTTAAGAACCACTGATCTACATCTTTGTAAAGATGTGTTGTTAAAGTTACCACATTATGATTGCCAGTCCTATGGGCGCATATACTGTATTAGATGCGTTCACAAATTCAGAAATGTTTAGGATACCATGTGTGCAGGGTTTAATTTGACAATCAATGGAAAATAATTTTTTGTATTTTTAGTATATCTTTTTATGCAAGGTGTATTTGTTTTCTCCCAAGCTGAATGTTCTGGAATGAATTATTGGTTCAAAAGCCTCTAATATTTACATGAAGGCAGTAGAACATTGGTGTTTCAACTTCTTGTAATTCAAACTGGCACCACAGTCAAGTAGATTCCTTTATGCTCCATGTACACTTTTAATTGTGTGCATACAGTAGGCCATAATAGATAATGTAGATAAAAAAATATAACATTGTGCTATCGTTCTCTAGTTTTGAAAATTAATAACCACATTAGAAGACCACAGTTAAAACTATCCCTGTTCCATTGTTTCATTTACCAGTTAACGTTTGAACATAACATAAAGAATTCCTTGGAAATGTTAAATGTGACTCTACAAATTAGTTGTTGTTGTTTAGCAGTATGTCATTCTAAAGAACTCTTGCTGGATGAGTTCAGTCTATAAGTCTTGTCAGATTATATCCTCTTTTTTATTTTCTTTAAATAAACTTTGTCAAACAGAAGTAAGAATTGCACAGCCAGAGTTTGCTATGTTACAAAATTACCACTTGGTAGGAACAGCAGCTGGAGTTTCTTGATTCACAGTGGCATCATAGCATTGAGAGCCTCCAGTCTTGTATATCATCCTCATTTCCTGCTGCTTCGCATCAAAGCAATTGCTGCTGGTCTTGTTGGCTTATTAGGAGGCAGCCCAGGAGTCCAGAACTTTGTTTCATGTAGTGAGGCCACTGCTATGAAATTGCTATGATGTGTCATGATGTATTTGCAGTTAAGTCTTTTGATAATTTGTTAATTTGAGGCTGATGACTAAATCAATGTGTCCCTGGTTTCTTCAGGTGTCTTTGTTAACCAGCCTTCAGTGTGTGGTGCAGTAAGATAATTAAGTTGATATATGATTCCTAATAGTGGGAGAGTTCTGATTACATACAGAACAGTATTTAAAGTGGCAAGTATGTAGTTTGTCAGCAAGTTTGTAGTTTTAAGAAATTGTGGCTCTGAAATTAATGCATGAGCAGTGTAGACATACTATTGTACAGTATATTCTGCAGAATGAGCAGCAATTAATTTAGACTTGTTATATTTAAGTGTTTGGTATTTTAAGTTTTTTTTGTTGGTAACCTACACATTTTCATTGTTCCCTTTTAAAAAATATAGCATAATAACATAAAGATGTCTCAACTCCTTATTTTTTAATCCTATGATGTGTTGATGAGCACATTGGGATGCTCGATTAATAAACATTACTGAATATTTGTTTGGTGTTTCTTTTGTGACTATACTAGCTAGTGTCTTTCAATCTACCAGGTGTTTTCGATGCAGAAAAAAACTAAATTTGATTGTGAATAAAATAAGAAATTGTCTTGTTCCTTTTCTGAGCAGCTCTTACTGCTCACGTTCTTCCATTTGTCAGTTTTGGAGAGACAGTCACCTGTTCCATTGGGGACCCTTGCTGTGAGTTTAATTAGGGACATTTGATTGATTTCAAGCTCTGCTTAGTCCTGTTAGCAGCTGTAGCAAACAGTTGGGCTCACAGAATGAACCAAACATTGGTTTGTTATGCTTTAGTCAGGGGATACAGAGGACATTCAAAGGCAGGTGTATGTTGGGTTGGGATCAAAAGCAGTGCCTTGTCAGATTTATCATTCTTGCCTGATTAACAGCCTTCTGAGAATGTCACACCACTTTCATTTTTTACACCCTCCACTGCAAGAAATGCTGTTCTTTGCCTAAGTTTTTTTCCCCCAAATTACTCTGTCATTTTGTAAAATATTTTGCAAAAGGGGGTTGATATATTTAATGCAGAAAATTAATACTGTAATGGAGTTTTATTGTCCACCCTAACCCAAAGGTAAATATTTGTTAGATAAGTTTAGTGTAATATATGTGCTGCCCCACAATAATTGAGTATACTTCTAATGTTGTAGAAAGAACTCAGGACATGGTATGTTCCTGAGGAACATAAAATAGTAGAGACCAGGCCTTTATTCCAGTATGCTGTGCTAAGGGAACTGAAGCTTAATGTAAATGGTTTTACAGGTGGCAGGATTGAAGGAGTATCTCAGTGTAGGTAACACTGGCAAGTTAAAGTTAAACTCCATGGACATTTGAAGACACAGTGGAATTGATCATGTTACATTTTTTAGCATTCACTGCTGGTGGTTGAACAGCCTGTTATGAGAAGTGTTTTCTTTCTTTTTTGGGACACCATGTTAGTTTTTAGTGACATACTGTAAAAGGCTACAGTGACTTGTCGTCAAACTGGCCAACTTTACTTCTTATGATGATCCTTTTTATTTCACTCTTTGGCACTTTACCACAGCTTTTTTGGAAAAATAATTTCAACTACTCAGAACCTCTACCTGACCACATAAATGTGGACATTTCTACCAAAAGTTATATTTGTTCATATTTGTCCCTCACCCTGTCTACATAAGAATGGGTTTCTTGGAGGGAAAATATACATTAAGTGCTATCAAGTGGAGTCAAGCTTGGAGTCAAGATGACCCTGGCTTTTTTTATATTCCTTGGAGTACATTTTTAAACAGCTGTTTTTTTTTTTAATTTAAACTGATCATTTCATGGTGTTTGATTTATTTATTTATTTATCCATTCAGGTATTAAAACTGCTGTGATGTTTTTGTGTGGTCAATTCCTAGAGGGGAATAACTTTGCCTGCCTTGTTGGGCCTGTAATTAAATTTATTCAGGGTACATGATCTAGTGATATCTGAGGACATTTTTAAAAAGATGGTTCCTTTTTTCCCAAAGTACAATTATGCTTTAAAATAAATTACCCCCAATGATTTTTATTCTTACCATACCAATGGGTAGATCCATCCTGCTTATAGTTCAGTGATTTTCTTTTGTGAAATCTGATTAAATTAATGTCTATGAATATAAAAAAATGACCGCAGAAGACTTAAAATTTAGAGCTCTTAAAATGCAACTTTTTATCTTCACCTGGCTAAAAAGTGTAAGATGCCTATTTAACATTAAGGGATAATAAGGCTTCTTGATTGTATTAATTCCCCCTGAGTAAATAATACTAACTAGTGTAAATAACTGATGGTTTCAATTGGCGTTTTATTTTAAGCAATCGCATGAAAGAGGTCTGCCATATTAAATTTCAGAAATACTGCATTGCTATGAATCACACATTGCATATGTGTCTAAATTTCCATGCTTTACTGAGTGGGAGTCCAATTTGGGTACATGCCAAAATATTTTGAAAGACTTTGCCTTTACAACTCTATCATTTTTGATCCAGTAAATGGATAAATCCAAAAAATGAAATAATTAAACAAGAAGTAAATAAATGTGACCATTAACATCCAATTTGCAGTTTTGCAATGTGAATACCCTGTAAGAATTGTATATCGTGTTCATATTTTTCCACTCTCTCATTATACAAATTTGGTACAGTACTGCAGGTTATGATGGTCAGTCTGCACATGAAAGGAATACAATTGATGTAATATGAATGAAAATATATATACAAGATCAAATACTAAAAATACATTTCTTTCAAACTGTTTTTTTTAAGTTTTTCCTTTTTTAGATCTTTTCAGAAACAGCCTTGCAAACATTAAAGAGTGCTTAGAAAAATGCACATCCCCTCTTGATTACATTCAGTGGTGGCCTGACATTACAGCTTTGTCAGACAACAGAGATGGAGATGCTGTAGGGGAAACAGATGTGAGTGGTTATCAGTAGCATATCACAGGATGTTGTGCGGCCTTATAATTACCTGGGGTATCAGCAACTGACTGCTCTGAACACCTCAAACATTGAAAAGACCATTTTCCCAACATTTTTGTTTTGCAATTTATATGCATGTCACACACATAGAAGCAGATGTATTTAGGCCTATATACTAATGTAACGCCACTTAAAAAATGTTGCAAATTATCTGCTTACAATGTCAAGTCATTTTTTTATCTCCTTGAATTTACTGAATGCATTACTCGTTGCCAGATGTTAATCACCCTAATGCATCTTTGTTATACGAGATCAATTTTATTCTAAAATTCCAGTTTAGAAATGTTTGTCAACATTCCCTTGGCTCTAATGTGATGTAAACCAGCATTAGAGAAAAATGTCTCAGTCGATCATAAATTTAGACAGATGTGAAAATTATAGCCCCTGATTGGTGAGAAAAATAATGTTTTGTATTTTTTTTTCCTATACTGTCTCTTCATATTAGTTTGTGAATTATACTGTTTTGGAAGCATTTATGCAAACATCATGCAAATCAAGAATGTATTCTGCCAGGAAATGTAGAAGCCGGTATGCACCAGCTTCTCCTCAATAAAATGTCATACAGAGGTGTTTTCAGTCCTGAACACATTCTCCCAAGTTCTTTGGGTGCCCACTAACATCCAGAGATCATCGTCCTGCTCCTGTTGAAGCTCATAGTGATGATCTGACAATGAGGCAGCTGTTAAAATAGGTTGGTCAAGCACTTGAGTTCAGGCTTATTTGCATTTGATTTGCACATGTAAGAAGACCAGGTATCTACAGAAACAACACTTGCTCAATCCACCAGAGAATGTGTCAAGCCCATACTGCTCTTACCTGTCACTTTTCATGTTCAAGTCATACTTGGCTGTGACATTAGGCCAATGAGACTAATGAATGATGGGAGCCTGAAAACTGGGGCTAACTCCCTTGGTAAAATCTTTTCCTTTTGTTGTAGATCCTTGTTACCTTAAATGTGCTGCTAAACTCTAAGTGATAAAGACAACTTATTGAAATACCAGTTGTGATGTGGTAATAAAGTTGAAAGTGAAGATCAATTAGAACAGATTTACAGTGCAAAAGGGTAATTAGAGGTCGTTTGCACTAAACAAAATTGTATTATTTGAATAAATCAATCCCTGTACTCTCTGGAGAGTTTTATAATTGTAGGCATTATTGGAAGATTCAGTAACCCAGGAGTCCATTTCCTAAGGTCAAGGCCTCTTGTCAAGAAGTATTTCCTTTGACCTTTTCAGCTGTAAATGGAGTGAAATGTCCTTACTGTGTTTTAAGATAGCTTTGATGTAATGATTTTGTTTTACACTTGTAACTCTGTCTTCAGTGAATATTATTCGATAGTATTTTCGTAATTTAACTGGGTGGGTCAAGAGACAGGATTTTAATGCTCTGTCAGCCATTCCAGAATTAAATACTAATATAAAGCACATCACACTGACTCATTGACTAATATGTCTGACTGGACAGCTCATTTTTCATCGCTCTTCACCTATGTGGAGTGGGCAATGGAGTACTATATTCATTTAACCGCATTACATAGGCTCTTGTGTCAGAGTTGATTGCTAATTTCATAGAAATGTGTGCCTGCATAGAATGAAAAATAGTACTATAAGGTAATATGTTTTCTTGTTAATGATTCTGTTCTATATGCCTGGAAATAGTTTGTGCCACTCTGAAGAAATGTTCATATTATACTCAATTCCCATCGCATTCTGTGAAATTATGCTATCTCGGAAAGAGGGACAGCTGAAAAAAGTGTGGTTCCATGTCTGACTGGCAATTTAAAAAAGCCACAGAAAATGACTTGGATACTGAAAGAATGAAATTGCTGCAGGTTATTTCTCTATTTAAAACTTAAAATCTGTTGAAAGGCACAGAATTAAGCCAGGCTGTATTCACCTGGTATGGTCACAATCTCTCTTGGCATTTTTATTGAAGTCATTGAGGGCTATGATTCAAGAGCATTTTTATATATAAATTGATAATGGGTCTGTCAATTTAGACTTAATGGAAATCATTTTTTTTAATTTATTGGGAAGAAGCCATTGTACAGCATTAAATTTTAAATGAGCCTTAGCTTAATATTGCTGCAATCTGATGGAACTAAAAAAAAAAGACATGGCACCAAATTTTACTTTTTTTGACAGTCCCCTCCAAGAGCATTAAAGGTACACTGTATTAGGTTTTGCCAGTTGAGTCTAACATGTCGCATAATGTCGACTAGCTTCTTTCTGTTCACCCTGGGACACCATAGTGAACTCTACTGGGATATTAAGGGTTTCATATTGATGCTGCCAACTGAAGCAATATATTGCATGTTTACACAGGTTCACCTGTTGAAAGACCAGCTGTCAGCGGAGGCCACAGCTCGAATTGAAGCCCAGGCCCGAGTCCATCAGCTCCTGTTGCAGAACAAGGACATGCTACAACACATCTCATTGCTGGTCAAGCAAATCCAGGAACTGGAGCTCAAACTCTCTGGACACGGCTCAAGTCTGTTGATCTTATTTGCATTTCCTGTTTTTTTATTATTTTTTGATTTCATGTGTGATGCCTGTTTCCTGCCTATAATATCTTAACTGTGGGAAGCCATCAGGTTTTGAAAAAGAACCAGCACTTTCTAGTGACCTAATTTTGAAATTATTGACTGCAATAAATTGAATGTCATCTTTATACGCATTGACTCTGCTACCATTTACTGAGAAGTGCATCCAATGATGCTTAAAGCATTGACATTCATAAATCAGGCCCTGTAAAATCCATAGGTGTTAGCACAAGCTGACAGATTTGAATTTCAGTTTGAAACCTCAAGATCAAGAATAGTCAGTGAACAGTGAAACTTTGATCATATTTTTGTATTTAACTGCGTGGTCTAAGAATAATTGTATAACACAGCAACTACTAGGAAATCCTTAAACATCTACTGCTGATGACGTCACATCTTATAATAATAATAATAATTGCTTACACTTATATAGCGCTTTTCTGGACACTCCACTCAAAGCGCTTTACAGGTAATGGGGACTCCCCTCCACCACCACCAATGTGCAGCATCCACCTGGATGATGCGACGGCAGCCATAGTGCGCCAGAACGCTCACCACACATCAGCTATCAGTGGGGAGGAGAGCAGAGTAATGTAGCCAATTCATAGAGGGGGATTATTAGGAGGCCATGATTAGTAAGGGCCAATTGGAAATTTGGCCAGGACACCGGGGTACACCCCTACACTTTTCGAGAAACGCCCTGGGATTTTTAATGACCACAGAGAGTCAGGACCTCGGTTTTACGTCTCATCCGAAGGACGGCGCCTGTTTACAGTATAGTGTCCCCATCACTATACTGGGGCATTAGGACCCACATGGACCACAGGGTGAGCGCCCCCTGCTGGCCCCACTAACACCTCTTCCAGCAGCAACCTTAGTTTTTCCCAGGAGGTCTCCCATCCAGGTACTGACCAGGCTCACACCTGCTTAGCTTCAGTGGGTTGCCAGTTGTGAGTTGCAGGGTGATATGGCTGCTGGCTGAAGGGTAATGTTAGGGTAATGTTGACCAGGGCACTAGTGTAAATTATTATAAAAATATATAACATATAAAATATATCTCTTATGCAATCTGAGCTATGAAAAACATGTAGTCTGCTGCTGAGTTTTGTTTCCCTGGGCAATAAGTAGGGCCCTACCAAATTCACTGATATTTTTGGGGTATTCAAAATAGCTGAAGTTCATGATGTTTGACATTTCTATCTTAAATCTCAGTGTTGTAACAGACATATTTAATCAGAGCTAGAGTTAAAGTATTTAAAGCTCCAGTTAGCAACTGCAGTTATTTCAATAATTAACATGTAGCAGTATTCCTAAATATTGATTAGCAGATCATAGAGTTTTGCCACTCGGCAGAAAGCAAGTACAGAACATCCTCTAACAGTGTCTTTAGTTATTCTGTCTCTGTGGTGAACATGTAACAGACATGAATGCGTTGGATTTCTGATCTTTTTAATATACCGATTTCACAGTGGAGATGAAATGTCATGTTCCATGTAATGCTGCTCACAGACAAGAGTATGGCGGGGCCTTATCAATGAGCTACAGTGAACCTAAAGAGCTGCAGGGCGAGACACCACCTAATGTAACAATCTGGGAATTGTGCAGCTTAATATCCACCATAGTGCATAATGATCTGCCTCTTAAGAGAATTCATAGTTGAGCGAGTAATACTACAGACTGTGAAGAGCCTATTTAATGTCGTCAGTTCTATGTTCTTGCTATGCAATCAAAGCAGTCCATATAGCTATCAAATTCATCTCCCCCTTTTGATATAGAGGTAATATAAGCCCTTTAATTCCCCTTTGAACTCGGAGGTGCTCATTTGGCTGATGATTCCATCTGAAGTGACGTCAGGGTTACAATTACCATTTGTTAGTACCCGTTTATACAACTGGATTGCCTGGATGATGGAGAGGTACTTGTGTCCTAAAAGATATAGCAGCTGTGTCCTTTAGTGGGATTGAAACCTACAGTCCTCCAGTCAGAAGTTCAGAGTGTTACCCACTGATTCAAACTGCTCTCTCACCCAGTAGAGCCCAGAAATGAAGAATGGTATTTTTAATAGCCCTTTCAAGAGGCTTAAAGTAACATATCATCATATTCTTGATAATTTTATCACCATTTTCGTTAATTATGAAAACATTAACATATAATGCTTAAAAGCCAGGCCTGATGTCCTTTACACAAAGGACAAGATAAAGACATTTCAAATTTGTAAACACTTTATTGGAGCACAGTATTTTTCCTTTTCCTGTTTGTGGAAATTTGTATCCCAAATGCAGCAGCCATGGTGACCATGATCTTTTGGCTGTTTTCAATAGTGGGACTAAGAAAAGCATTTCCTTGCGGCAGGAACTATAGTTTGTAACATAGGAAACAGGAGCATCAGAACTACAAGTTACATTTTATGTACTTTTTACTAAAAAGTATATGTTGTGACTGGTTTCTGTTTCAAGAAGTGTTCAATTTCACAATGGTATTGTTTCAAGTTGTGAACCACTTTAACCATTCCAACAACACCACAACACCAATTGCAAAAAGTATATCTTGTTCATGTCATCTAGACATTGAAAACATTGGAAGAATTGTGTGGAGACCAATAATATAGCAATCTGGAAATGTAAATATTGCTGTGTGAACCAATGTATATCATGGCAAGGATAGATTGAAGCTGTGTTTGACACAGTATATAGTACATGTCGGTGACAATTGATGTATTTCAAATGAAAGACTAGCTACAACAGAACAATGCAGTTTATTAAAACTTTGACATTTTTGTTTTAGAGTGAAAATATTAGGCAGGTTGATCTAATTCACTTGTGATTTTGTTTTTGTTTTTTCATTTTATTGGTTGTAAATGTACATTGTGCTGTAATGACAAATGAACTGAATCCTGTCCAGGCATATACATTTTGATAATTAAAATAACAGTACATTGTTTTTTTTATGATGTTAATATAACCAGTGCATAGTCTGAATTACAGTTGTTATGTAAAATAGCTTTTTTTTCCCAGGGCAATTTATTCTTGAATGTACAGTAAGAGGGCCTCTTTGTCTCCGTCTGGGTTTCCCTCAACAGTGGGCTCTCAGGACAGCTTGCTGGAGATCACATTCCGAGCAAACGTGCCGCCAGTGCTGTGTGATCCGACCACACCAAAGCCAGAGGATGTGACCCTGCCGCAGCTCAGTGATGGGACCCAGCTCTCCCTGCCCTTGGGCAGCCCCCTAGGTAGGGAAAATTGCCTGGTAAAACTTGAGTGTTTCCGCTTTCTCCCTGGACCACCACAGGAAGAACAGGACAAGTCACAGCAACCTCCAGTGCCAGTCCAGGACAAATTCTTGGGTAGTCTAGAGCTTCTCAAGTTCCGGGAATCTGGGATTGCCTCTGAATATGAGTCTAATACAGATGAGAGTGATGACCGGGACAGCTGGGGTCAAGAAGATAGTTCACTTCGGCTTTACAATGTATTGAACAAGCAGGGACCACCAGACAGCCTGGATGACGAGATTGCGGTCTGAATCTAGGGTGTTCTTTTTCTTCAGCTTTCGCAGTAGTCTAGTTTGCCAATCGGATCACTTGTGTAAAATAATGAAATTGCACCCCACAAACCGCCTGCACTTTGCTGTTCTTTCTGCCTCTGTCTGTATATTCTCAGCATTTATTTAATAGATTATTTAGAGAATCTGTTTTTTTTTTATTAGGTGGAGGATGATCTCCTGTCACTCACTTCAGCGTAGTTAGAAGAGACACATCAGAAACCTAGAGTAGGAAATTGCAAGAATAACTAAGAACGGGTCATGCTCCAGCAGCTGCTTTTTACAGATTGCTGTAAAATGAGAGAAAACGGAAATGTTTGCCACCTGTTATGCCATATCCTTTTGAAGGTGGTTTTCTATTTTTTAAGGATAAAGGTTCTTTTTTAAAACAGAGGTCATCCTACATGCATCAACCACTGGAACCAATTCTTAAATCTATAGGCAGCATTACACAAACTATGCTGAAAGATCTGTTCTCACATTCTTAAAGCATTTATTGCATTCTGTTACTTTTGTCTTAAACACATTAATACTTTATTATGTACATTTGTAGCATGCCAGACAACAAAAATATCAAATAAGCTACATTTGCAAGAATTTTCTAGTTCATAAGCAGTTATTTGACTATTTCTGTATTTTCTGTATTTCTATATTTTTCACTGTCGCTCCTGCTTACTTGTGCATGGTAATGATGTTGCACATCTCATTTCCTAGCTAATGGAGATATTGCACACCATGTAACTAGATCTATATAAAAAGTATATTTTGTACGTCATCTGTTCATTTGACCAAAAATGATTTGGTCTTAGACTTCAGCTCTACTGAAATGTCCTTAATATCAGCAGAAGACTTTTCTTAAAGTAGTTATATCTTTAATATTATTTTGAACATGTTCTGGTAATGTGGAAGATCTGGCCAGGGAAGTACCCTTTAAAGTTTACGGTAAAGCCAAATACAGTACCTAAATCTTTAATTTCCTTACAGGTTAAGGAAACATTAGCCATTACATTTGGCTACAGAATGATATGTTCTGTGTAATACAGATATTGATATCTCTTAAGGGTATCCAATGTCAGGAGATACTAAGGCTACGAAGTCCAAAGAACATATTATTATATTAATAAGTTAAATAATTTAATGTAAGTTAAAACCACTTATCAATACCCCTGGTACTGCACTGTGTTTATTTAAAAAAAAAAGTACAATGAATTACATGATTATATGGCCACCTTTAATTAATTAATTCTTATTGTAATCAATAATTTCACTTGATGCCATATCATTTGTACTTTTTCTTTTCCAATAAATTAAATTTATTGAGGTTTCCGAAGAGAGATAATTTTTGACATTTTGAAAACAAGTAAGCAAGATTAAGTGGTTGCATTGATTAAGTGGCTGTATTATTTGGTTTCAGTTTTTAAGGTACAAAAATACTACCAAGGACTGCATTATTTGAAATACTGTGAAAAACGTTTGAGTGCGTATCTTAAGCAAGGTCACATGTTAGTATTTGAGGTCAAAGTCTATATGTGCTGAGCTACCAGTGCTTTGTCTTAAACTGCAGTGAGAAAGACCTAACAAGACATTGTTATTAAATTTTTTTTAGTATGCTTCTTACTGATGTTTGTAGATGTAAATTGCACAAAATATCACTGCTAAATCAATTGTTTGGAAATGCTTCTGCTTCTACTCCTAACATTACCAGCAATTCTCCATGTTGCCTCGCTGTAATCACAGCCTTTAGACAACCTGTAAAAATGTGTTTTCAATGTAAGCTGATGACAGTTCTGTACTCTGTATGTTTGACAAGCTTTTTACTTGTTCGCAGCTCCCACAAGGAGCCTTCATTTGGAGTCCGTTAACTTTGAGTTGGAAATGGTTCTTTATTAATGCTGGTTTCTTATGAAAAACACTCTAATCTTGTATTCATAATGATCTCAATTCAATGACAAAAATGTGCTTTGAGATGTCTATAAGTATTACATTTAGAAACTAATGTAGGGGTGGTGTGGTGGATTTATGTGAAGCCTCAATTAAAAAAGACATAAACTGAGGAAGCCAAGCCCTTTGTTTTGCACCTAGAGTATCTATTTGGTATCTAGGTAACCTTGCCCACTTCATCCCACCTGCCCTCATGGGATGCCATAGGCACACACTGCAGAATGGACACATGTTCAAAAAGAAAGAGGAGCCTGGTAGCTAATATTGCAATTTCTGGAACCTTGTCCTGTAAAGAAAAAAGACTTCATTTTTATTTAAACCATCTTCCGAAATGTTCATCTCTTTATAACTCCAGTGTGAAAAAGAGAGAGGCACATTACATAGGTGTGGTGTTGACATAGCTTTCTGCCTCACAACTCTTGGAGGTCCTGGGTTTGTGTCTAGACTGGGCTGCCTTGTGGAGTTTGTACTTTTATGTTCTTGCCATGTTTACCTGAGTATTCAGTGCTCTAGTTTCCTACAACCTCCCAAAGAAATGATGGCTTTGTTAACTGGGGTTTCTAAATTATATTTATACTGTATATCTGTGTGCGTATGCCTTGAATTGGTCCTGCCCAGAATATAGTCCTAATTTGTGCCCTGTGTTGCTACAGTTATAGAAAGACCAAGTTAAATTCTTTAAATGGAAGACTGCCATAAACAGACAAATAATAAAACAAAAGACTTCTACCGTATATAGATCAAATGCACTTAAAGTCATGTACTGTATATACAATAACGACACCAAGGATGTGTCTCTAAAGAAATAAGGATGTTCAATGCATTTGCAGCTACTTACTATAAATGTGAGTTCTTCAAGTAAAACATTTACCAATTAAGTATTTTGTGTTCAGTACATCATTTCCATGATGACATGAAACATAGAATGACATGTTCTACAATCAACTGGAATATTGTGTTAAGCAAATCACTGTGGTCTTTGTTGTCTTAATAACATGGATGTAGTAGCCACCCAATACTTACACAAGGCTTTGTAAGCACATGTTAGTATATTCCTTGTGTCTTTGTGCTACTTATTTAAAATACAAGAGTGTGGGTAATGTTTTTAAAGTAGCTGATCTTCATTAAGTGTCTTTTTGTTGTATATGTCCCCGTCTGTTCTTAAAATGCCTCTAGTCAGAAAACATCACAGCCTTCACGAAGTGGAAAAAAAAGTTAAATCCCATATTCCCAGGTTGAGCTGTTTCCTTTGAGGTATACTATGAAGGCATACAAAATATTTACTGAATTTTATGTAGAAGTATAACATACATATTTCTGATTAAGGAAACCATTGGGAGCGACAGGGAAATGAAATCTGAGAGGCTGCTTTTTATTTCAGAAGTCCAATAAAGATTAAACACCTTTTGTTCTCCTTGTTCACAACAGTGAGCGACATTTTACCAAGACTAATGCTAATGTCATGCAAATTACATTAACTGTGATAGAAGTAAGGATTATGTAATTAGATGGGCATTTAACTATTAAAGGTATTGGTTATTATTCTTATTATGCTGGATATACTGTATCATAGTGTATCTTCTAGTAGCTCAAAATCTGCATCTAAAAAGGATGGATGTAGTAAAAGTTCTGGATATACTTTTAATGCATTAACTCCAGCCAGAACAGACCCTATTCCCGAGTTATTTCTGTTTTATGATGTGGATAATCCACTGTGACTTTTCAGATGAAGTCTCAAGATGTTAACAAAAAAACTTTGACACAAGTGAGCAACGTATCATTGCAACAAGACTTTCAAACCGTTGTCATAGTTTCAGGCATTTTGTTCAATCATAATTGAAATCTTTAAAAAAATACAAGTCCCAATATTGCACAGCTTCCAGTGTTTCAAGATAAGAATAAAGCTGCTCTGATAAGAGTTTGTGTAGGTCCACCCCATGTTCAGAGATCAGCTCTTGAAAATAAATACACTGCAACAAAAAAAGGGGGCTTTGGGGAATTTATCTATTTTGAAAGTAATTTATTTTCTTTGTAAAATCTCATAATCTTTAGGTTTTTGACTTGATTTTTCACTATTCTTCTTATCTTATTGTGCACAATAATAATTAGCCAGTGTCTTAAGGCACCTAAAATCATTTTAAAGACTATTAAAAATGTCCTAGTAAAAACAGAATTCACAAAATCATCAGTTTACATGTCTTCTTATTGACTTAAGAGTTAGGGAGGTGTTTTGGTAAAGGTATACATAAACAATATCTATTGGGATCCAAAAATACATTAATCATGCTATTGATTTTGTTTTTTTCTGATTCTTATACAGGAGATAAGCTTTGTAATAAGATACACATTATATATTTTTTTATTCATCTGCCTTTGTCATTGTTTTTCCTTTTATCAAATGTTTTAGATCACCTTATGATTTAACACAGATCCTTCCAGCCCCAGTGAACAATGAATGCACCTTAGATAATAAGCAAAATAACTGGCTGTTCAAGACGTTATGCTGACGAAGGGAAATATGAATATATCTTGAATGTCAGGAATACGTGGTTAATTCATCTGCACTCAAAATGAACTCAATGGAGCACTTTACATTTTTGCCACACTTACATTCTTCTCCTTCTGTATTTTATGTATTATGATCTGCAATGAGGTTGGGAGGGATAATACATAGTTTCAATCCATTTTAAGAAGAGTATATTCACTGGAATGGAAATAATCTGTACCTGCTTAGTCAAGAAAGTGCAACAATCGTCATAAGGTCTGTGGTGAATTGTTGGATGAAATATTGATTGGATTGCATTAGTAGTGAGAAGTTATAGAAGCAGAATGATCCCACCTGCATCAGTCAATTTTGATTTCTTATACTGAAACCTTTATTTCATGATATATTTGTTGCCCATAACTCTGTTGCCTAAAAAGGCATGTACATGTTGCATGTAAGGTTAAGGAAACAGTTCTGAAGACTGCCATACATCTGTATGAAAATAGTATAGTATGAATTAGTCCCCATGGCTTTAGAAAAGGTGGAGCCTACTTGTTACAGTTCTTCAAACAAGCTACAGCATTAATAGATTCACAGAAGGCAGAGTTTGTTAAATTTTATTTTCAGAAGGCTTTTGGTATTTCTCGCAAAAGATTCATTCTTAAACTGCTCTTGGTATACACTCAAGATAATGTATATACTGCATTTGGTTTGGTTGGTTTGAGAACTAGTTGATACAATAGAGAACATGGTACAGATTGGAGTGACAATAGTGAAATAAGGATCTGTATTAGGAGTATTGCTCTTCCTAGTTAATATCTGAATAACTTAACCTAAATCATTGACATAGTTGGTGACCTAGTCCTTTGGGTGTTCAACATATTTTGTCCAAATTTCCACCTTGGACCTTTGTCTCACAGTCCCAGTTATTTAAAACTGTCCCAAAGAAGTGCTTAATTAAAGGTGTAAGGATAATACTAATAACAATCTTATTACAGCCATTGATTTACCCAAAGCCATTTAATTTTAATTCTATTGTTTGGTAAAATTGGCTGTAAAGCTTAGAATTGAGTAATGATTTGCAATAACGGTAAAACTTGTCTTTTTTTATTAATGGTTCTGCACAAATGAAAGATTTTAAAAATTTATTGTGAGGCATTAAAAATGTAACAGAAGTACAGGATAAAAAGTTTTAAATCCTTTTAATATACTTTTATACATGCTAAAACTCTGGTCGAAATCTGTATTGTCTCACTGATGCAAGGGAAACATGCAATATGAACAAAGGCTACATTACTGTTGTTACTGTCATTTTTGCATAAAAACCTTTTGATTTTCTTCTCCCCTACCAAAAATACTGTAAAAAGGTGTTTTTCCCCACCAACAACTAATTCCATCTTAAATCTTAATTATTGTCCATTCTTGGAACTCCAGTGTTCAGAAACCAATACCTTCCTCATGGGATTCTATTGACTAAGAAGGCAGACTCTTAGTATGTTTAATTGGCTGTTGGTGGTGACCCCAACAGACCAAGTCATTAAACATTTATTCAGACTGTCTCTCTTTATATTTAATTTATGTTTAACCTTGCACCTCATTTAATGAATCGGGATAGTAGGACTTTCATTGAACTTTATACATAATTAAAGACTGTGAGGGCTATCACAGTTTCTCCAACAGTGTGCTACAGACTTATGTTTATGACATATCCTTAATGCCTTTTTATAATTGTTTTTAAAATAATAGAATAAGCACACATAAAAGTTATTCTATAGAACTCAAAGCTGAACAGGTTTTGTATTCACTTCAAGTGGGCTCACCCAACTTGAAAGCAAAACAGGGCTGGTGTGTTTTGAAGTTGTAATATGGTTTGCAATAGACATCATATTTGAATATCCATATCCCTTGTAGTAGCTCATCAAACAGATGTCTGTTTCTGGCACTTTACAATGAAAAGATTTTTCTTTAAAAGAAAATCTAAATTTCACTGCCTCAGTCTCTTGCTCTTCCTAAATCGTGAATGAACGATCTTTCTTTTGAAATCCACAGTAACTGTTCTTTTTCTCTTTTAACATGTGCTTGTTCTACTTGTGCTATCACAGAACTAGAAGAATGGTGGTTTCTGTCTGGCTGGATCTGAGAATCAACAGGAGCAATAGTACGAAAGCAAACCTTTCTATCTTTAGCTCATTTAGGAGATGATTTAACAAACTGTGCTTTAAGTTATAGCTACTATATCCGGATATTGGATGTTTCTTTTTGCTAAAAATGTGAAGCCAGGTTTTTAAAAGACATTAAATAATGAGTTTAAATTCCTGGTTTTATAATTAATGCCAAAAAGGTGCACTGGACCATGGATAATGTTTGAATAGAAATTTTGCAAGATTTCCGATTAACAAGGCTCCTGCTGTTCAAAGATAAATTGCTGTGTCTTGAGTTAACATTTATGTAGCATTTACTTTGAAGACTTTATCATCTTGCTGATATATTCTTTTTAATTTCTCAACTGACATTTCTTAAAAAGAGTGCAGAAAGGAAGCTTTTGTCAGTCATATTGTGAGATTTCTCTGTCTAAAACACTTATGGGAGCGTAAGTGCACTTACTCTGTACCTTGTCACTAACCTTGCTTTTGCTGAATAAATCTTTTCTTGTTCTACTTTTTTCCCCCGTCATTTTCTTTTTTACTTTTAGTACCCCTAGACTGGAATAACAAGTTTGAATTTGGTTTCTGTTTTGGGTCTGTTAATAATTGCAAATAGAAGGTATACAACTCTGTAAAAAGAGGGGGGGGGGCATTCTGTTTTGTGTCCACAGTAAACTGGCTACAAGTGCAAGCATCCAGAAAGAGAGACATTTTTGTTCTTAATGTGTCCTAATGAATAAAATTGGTCTGTGTTTTGATGACTACCGGAAACTGACAGTTCATAGCATGTGATCATTTATACAGTACTTTCTATAGGTCATTATGTATTGCCATGGTTTCTGTCTTTGTCAGTAGTGGTGCTCTGTACAGTGTTTCCTCTTGTTGCGGAAGGATCTTTCTTCTTTTAGTTGGAAATGAATGGTAACGAAGTGACAAGAACTTACCAAGGTATCTGGGATGATGCGGTTTTGTCTGCATTGCCTAAATGGGCCTCTGTTTCTAGAGATATTATAAAAGCTTACTCACAGGATCTAAAGTTAATTTTGCCCACAAGTTGTACAAAGCGCTCTAAAGCTTAACAAGATGAGTCATTTATCGAACACCAAAATTTGACATCTAGAGTTTGGTTTGTAGATTTCAATAGAGAAGTATTTTAACATTTTGTTGTAATTCAGCCCTTAATTTTGTCTACCCACAGTTACCCCATTGATCAACAGATATTTTGCTGTATCACTGTGTCGATAAAATAATTTTAAGGTAAATCATAAATATGATTTTTGAATGGCTATCCGTACTCCTGCTATGGTCACATTTTTTTTATTTAAAAAAAAAAGCTTTTTATGATACCACTGGCATAATAATTCCTACAAATGTACTACTTCAGAGATCGGAATTTGAAGGGGGCTATAGACAGGTTAAAAACAGAATGAAGTTTTAATGACTTTGAAAATGACTTAATGAAATTGTTCTTACTAAAACAATAATGTGTCTTTCGTTATTTGTATACGTTGAAAATGAGGATTCTGTGCTGGAAGATATTTTTGTATGTGTTATGTGCTTTCCAATTGGAAGGCCAAAGATTTGGTTTCAAACTACATAGTTCAAACAAATCTAAGTTTTGTTTTTTTTTTATTGAGGGCACTAAATGTCTGTTCCTGCAACTGATTAAAAATATTCACAGAATACCATGTGCTCTGAAGCCTGTTCCTTCATAATAACTAATAAAACCTAGACAAATGCCTGAGATTTTTCCTGTATAGAGGGTGTAGGTTGATATAGGAACTTAATACTGAATGGTAAACTGTGATTGTGACTAGCATTGCAGCTTTGATATAAGCAATAGCTTTACTCCTTGAATAGACTTATTTAGTTAATACCTTTGGCATATATAAAAGGGCTGTATTAAAGAAACAAAATATATCTGGTTTATCAACTTTTTTGCTTAAGGTAAGGTTATAATCAAGCAATGAAACAGTCCTAATCAATAAATGTACAGTTTAGAAATTCAGTCCCTATTACTCTCAGTTCCTGACTCTAGCTGTCAAAAAATCCTTATTAATTTTTTGAAACCAAGAGATTATGAGCTTAGATGCTTATTACATTACTTAAGTCATCTCCAGGTTTTAAATTTAAATGCTAATCATTGACACCATGTACAATATGGAATTAAATATTTACTTTAGCTAGCACAGTATTATATCTGAATATAATACTTTAAATTTGTACATTAATGTAGATGCTGGCATTTTCAAGTTCTTCATATTTACACAATTAGGAATTTTTACATATCTTGTTTCCGTAAAATGTCTTGACAATATAATGAAAATGTTTCTCTGGCTTAATCTCTTTTTGATGAAACCATGAAACGGTCCTCCTTATTAGCCAGTAATGTGCTTTTTTGAAGTGACAGTCTGTCACTTCTTACTCCTTTGGTTTTCATTTTAATTAGGTATTGAACTGACATTCAAGTGTCTATGTCTGGTTTAATATTTGTATGATTAATTTTCATCACAAAAGGAAAGCAAGACTAAAAAATTAGATATCCCAATGGATGTTAACCTTTTTTTTTTAAATCCTGAATTCTTAAAAAGTACTAATTCTGGGTCTTCGGATGATCTGTAAAATCAGAGCAACACCTACACTGTAATAAGTTTAACAAAAACAGAGGCATCACTTCTGTTTTATATTCGGAGAATGATTCCATAATGGTTTTAACTAAGAAATTAGAGTTGAAATGTGTAAACGAGCACGCTCCAAAGTAAATGGAGGTTTGTTGAAAAGTAAAAGTAGGAAAACAAGAAGAAAATATGACCCACACATCAGAAGAGAACCAGAGCTAAATTTATTTGTTCTACTTTTTACTTTTCAGTGTGGAATTAAGTTCTACTATATGTTTTAAATCAGTTATATAATAAAGAAGTAGTTATGACTTTAAAGATTTTCACAATATCTCTTTTCAAAAAATGTTTTGCTTTTGTTTTATACAAATGCTTCCCGAGTAACAATTGTCTACATGAGGTAAGAATTCTTTAATGATACAGCACCTCAGATTTTTTTTTGGCAAGATTCAGTTTTACATTGTCTAGAATGCCTGTGTACTGTTATGGTCGTTGCATGTTGATTTATTATTTTAGTTACTGTCTCACCAATATGTAATCTGTGTTAAGTGCTGCCTATCTGTTATGTCTGTGTATTTTGGTTAAATGTTTGGTTTCTTTATGTTTAAATTGATCAAGTTGTTACTTGAGTCTACCTGTGACATTAAACAACAAAGCTCATTTTACAAAGTGTAAAACACTCTTTTCTTGTTATTGGAAAACAAGATGTTAATGTTTTTTATGGTTGTGATGACAACACACAACCACATCATTACACCTTAACCATTTTCTTTCCATCCATCTTCTAAATACTCTTTAGCTAGAACTGCCTGGGTTCAGATTTTACTTGTTTTCTTTTGTTAGTGATGTAACTGCAGATAATTCTCAAATGTTTGATTGCTGTTTTTTGTGCTTTGCAGTTGACCAAAGCATGTTTGAGAATTCCAATGCTGCTCACACACCAAAGCTTCAGAATGCCAAGTTTGCCTCGACCGTGAATAAACGCTCTGTAGCCAGTTCCTCCAGTCCAGCCACTCCTGCGGAAGTCTTTGGCAGTGGCCCAAAGACTGGCAGCAGTCAGCATTTAAAAAACGCCTTTAATCTGGGGAAAGCCATGGGAGCAAAGGTCAATGACCTCCTGCGCAGAAAAGAGCAAACCAGCCTGGGAGACATTGGAGTAACTGAGGTGAATAAGAATGTGGGCGCTGTCTTGTCCTCCACTGAGAGCAGTGTTCAAGGGATTTCGGGACACAGGTAAAGTGAAGCTTCGTGTTATTGTAATAATATCTGTCTAAGCAGCACATAGTCCTTCAGGATCCACTTTTACAGTAGTGACTAATCAAACTTTCACCCTGTAGTTACATTCAAAGTACAGTATTTAGACTTAACAGAGGGAATATATTTCATATCTGTTGTATGGCTGTATTTTACATTAATTAAAATTAAAAATCCCAACTATAAACCCATAACACACACATTAAACTAATTTATTATTGATTCATTAAATTATTGCTATGTAAGAGCTAATAGGACCTGTCAACACAGCCTCTTTTTTTCCCCAACATAATGTCCTTGACATATACATTTTAATGGGTTGTTAATGACTTTGCAACTTTACAACCCCTTAGGCAGGCATTGACATAAAGGTAATAACAGGATGAACATTATGTTGAATCCTTGAAACAAGTCACTGTTTTGATAGGCACAGGAAGCTTGATAGATTTAAGAACACATTCACCAGCATTGACTTTTAAAGATAAAGAAAGTTGTCCCTACATTTGTAGTGCAGTTCTGCTCACTTAATCATAATGCTTGCCAGGGCTTTTACTACTGCCTCAAAGAGGACTGAAGAATCTGAGTATTTCCTTATATTTCATTTTGTCACCAGTACTTACTGTACATATCTTAATTTAAATGGTACTTTATTAAAGGGTATTGGAGGGGGTGAATACTGTAGGTTTTCTAACTAACCGGTTTTAAACAGCGTAATTGGATTCAGGTCCTCTTCTTGTTTTCTAGTTTTGATATCATAGCAGCTAATATTTCTCAAAGAAAAAATAATTCTTAAAATGTTTTTAAAAGAGCTATATAACCATTAGCGTGTTTTCTGCTATACAGGTTTCGCCACATTGCAATAATTTGAATTTGGTTGAAAGAAGTATTTTATTATTGGCTCATAAATAAAATTGGATGTTAAGTAGTTTGCCTCTCCAAAGAGTAATGAGAATCAAGTATAGCATATTGGAGGAGAATGTACTAATATTCCAGGTGCTGAGATTACCGTGCTTCCTGTTATTGCTAAAAATCTATATATTGTTAACCTTTAATTCTTTAAAGAAAATAATTCTTTTAAATTGGAGAAAAAAGCAAAATTAACAAACAGTTTTCAAACTACTTACTGTATGATAACTAAAGTACAATTCTGGCATAGCTCAGATAAATTGTTACCTATTTTGATTAGGTTTTTGTAAATATAAATCCAAATGAGTAGCATTATTCTTATGTTAAATAAGAACATCACTTCTGATTTCTTTAGTTTGTTTTAATTGTATGTTTAAAATTCATATATCTATTTTAAGATTGTTTTTTTTTTTAATTTTACCTGATATTACTGAGCAGGTTTTCCCATGTTTGATATACATAAACTTCTGATTTTTTTCCAGTCGCACCTCAATTGACTGGATCCCTAGACTGGACCCACCACCTGCAACAGGTAAGAAACGCATGCCCCGGGCACTGAAGACAACTCAAGATATGATGATCTCTTCTGATCCAGTAGTGACAACTGCCGAGGTTTCTGAGACCTCTTACACGTCCTCGCCTGATAAAACCCCACTTATCAAGAAAGAAAAGTCCTTAGAAAAGTTGGAAGAGGAAGAGCTGGGGGGTGAAACTGGTTTGCCCATCTCATGTGGT